AATGTATGAAAAAAGTTACAATAATTCTTTATCAGACAAGAAAGTATTTAGAACAACTGAAGAGTAAAGAATACGAACCTGGACTCTGGAACCTTGACAATGGTATTTCATCCAGATGTTTGTTACTTCCCGCAAGGTTCAGCAGTTTCCAATAAGAGATGATGGTTCTAAAGGTCGGGAAATGTTAATAATTCTATATGATCATTTGTTTATAGACTCCCTTATTCCATTATTACCGACTCTTTTTATTACTGTAAGTGTAAACGAGGGCGTTTATCGTATAGTAAAGAGTAAACACGACACTAAGTGATTATGAAAAGGTGAGTTGGTCTGGAACTAAGAGAAATTTTCTGTTCGCATAATAAAAGAATATAAGACCCAAGATTGAGAATTCATAAATCCTTCTGCAGAATGTTACTAGTTTCCGAGGCTGAAAATAGGTACTAGAATCAGGGCGGATCTACTATGAAACTAATGAAGCTTAAGTCAGGGCCCTTAATCCTTCCGGGATTAAGACTCACCTGGCTGGATCACGAAGGAGGAGAATGGTCGGCAGGCTGGAGTTTACCTCCTCATAGCGGTCCTGCAGATCGTAGATATAGGTGGGGTATAAGGAGGCACCGTGGGTCCTCTGCAATATTGTCCTTCCGCTCTCCATTACCTTCTCCCCAAGGAAACCTGAAGACACAATGTTAAGCTACTCTGTTCAGTTTTGCAACGTTGAAGTCTGAGAATAACATTTATGGAATCAATAATTGCGAGGCAATTCGTAGCCATCTTGAAAGGCATAAATTGATTAATGAATCTCAACACTGTTTTACAAAGGGGCGTTCCTGTCTCAGTTTACTAACTTTTTTCACCAAGGTATTTGAGGAGGTAGATCATAGTAATGAATATGATTTTGTGCATATGGACTTCGGTAAGGCTTGTGATAGAGTTCCACATCAGAGGCTATTGAGGAAAATTAAGGCAACCAGAATAGGAGGGGAAATTTTTTCCTGGGTAGAGGCATGGCTGACAGATAGGCAGCAGAAAGTTTGCATCAATGGGGAGAAATCAGAGTGGGGGCGCGTCACGAGTGGTGTTCCACAGGGGTCAGTGTTGGGCCCGTTGTTGTTCAGAATTTCAGTAATCGACACTGATAATAGCGACATAAGCAAGTTTGCCGATGACACCAAAATAAGTCGCCTAACTCATTCTAATGAGAACATTAGAGCACTCCAGGAAGATTTAAATAGACTAATACAGTGTTCGGAAAAGTGGCAGATGCAGTTTAATCTAATAACCATGCCACATATAAACTCAATAATGTAGATCTTAATATTACTGACTGCGAAAAGGATTTGGGAGTTCTGGATAGCAGTAATCTAAAACCAAGACAACAGTGCATAAGTGTTCGCAATAAAGCTAACAGAATCCTTGGCTTCATATTAAGGAGCATAAATAATAGGAGTCCTCAGATTATTCTTCAACTCTATATATCTTTGTTTAGGCCTCATTTAGATTATGTCGCACAGTTCTGGTCACCGTATTACAGAATGGATATAAATGCACTGAAAAACGTACAAAGGATGATGACAAAGTTGATCCCATGTATCAGAAATCTTCCCTATAAGGTGAGACTGAGGGTTCTGAATTTGCACTCTCTAGAAAAGCATAGAGTTAGGAGGGATATGACTGAGGTGTATAAATGGAAAACAAGAATAAATAAAGAGAATGTATATAGCGTGCTAAAAATATCTAACCAAGACAGGACTCGCAGCAATCGTTTTAAGCAGGAAGAGTTCAGATTCAGGAAAGATATAAGAAAGTACCGTCATAGAAGCTAATACTGTGTGAAGTTTTAAAAATACGTTGGATAAATACATGAGTGCGTGTGGGTGGGTGTAAGTTGGACCTGACTAGCTTGTGCTAATAGGTCTGATGGCATGCTCCTTCCTTAAGTGGATGTGACCTGACCTGACTAGGTGGGTCATTGGTTTAAGCCGGAAAGTGACTTGGACCTGCCTCCCATGGGTCAGTAAGCCTGCTGTAGTGTGCTTTCTTATGTTCTTATGTTCTAAACACCAACAACAACAAGTCGAGCCCATCGTGAAATTCACGCTAGAGGGGGAAAGGACAACCGTCCACCTTTGATGTTTTTCTACACACATGTGGCGACAGACTGATATTTAAAATTTAGAGGAAGTTCAATAATAGAGACAACTCATTAACGTCTACTCATACCAATATTCCACAACAAAGCTGTGTGTCACCACTGGTTGCTCCCTAAGGGTTTATAGAATCTCCAGTGCACACTTTCTCGGAAAGGAATGTGAATATTTCCGACATGTCATTGTGAAGCTAGTTACCACTAACTTGCATCTCTGGATAAAAAGGGCGCTCCCTCCACATCTTCCACCAAGTATATAGTTCTTCCTGACAGCTGTGTGACCAACACTATGGCTCCAACATTCAAGGAAACAATATTAGGGTGGCAACCAGTTCCCGCGGCCACCATTAATTAAGGAACCAGCTACACCAAAACTTACCAGCACTGCAGAAACCAGTTCTGTATAGGATCACTTACTGGTGATATCAGTAAGTATACAAAGAGGACCATTGATCTCCATGTTAGGAAACAGATATTCCTGAAGCCTTCATGATATGAATAACGCATGTGTCTAAAATCATAGTACATATGACAGACTCAACACTCTGGAGCTTTAGCATCTCCAGTATTCTCTCCAAAATGATTCTGAAGAACCAGAATATTTTAATTGTCAGAACTCATTTCCGCTGCATTCCAACAACAACAAATCGTATCAGAGTTGAATTCAGTTACACTTCCTAAAATATTTCGTCTCAATATCACTTGCTACTGAAGGTCAGACATTACTAAACTTTCTGGATTACAACGTCCGGCTGCAGTTCGATACCCAGTATGATGCTATATTTATTATTATAATCAAAAAGAAGCACTAAGCCACAAGGGCTATACAGCTATGAAGCTACAACAATTTCCAAATATAAACATAACAATATGGGTAGAACGAGCATTAGATACATTAAACGTACATTTTAGAAAACACAATTACAGTAATGTATTCTACGACTCACGAAATTGTAATGACACGATTGTAAACTCACTCACCACGAGTTCAATCCCCACCCATGGTATGTTTTTTTCTTTTATGTAATCTACATTTAAGAACTTATAAACACGCTGCTTTATTTGGCTCACTGGTCTCCTAAATCTGTACAATATTGGTTATGGTAACAAAATAATGGCACAAAGAGATGTAGTTATCCAGGATCACAGGCTTCCCCTTCCATCATCACAACCCCTTCCATCATCACAACGCCTTCCATCATCACAACCCCTTCCATCATCACAACCCCTTCCATCATCACAACCCCTTCCATTATCAACTAACCTCATCCATCATCACAACCCCATCCAATTCACCATAAACCCATATCCATCATCACAACCGCCTTCCATCATCAAAACCCTTCCATCATTCACATACCCCTTCCATCATCACAACCCCATCCATCATCGCAACCCATCATCAACAAAACCCCTTCCATCATCACAACCCCTTCCTTCAATCACAACCCCATTATCATCACAAACCCCATCCATCACACACTCATCCACATCACAACACCATCCATCATCACAACACCACCATCCACCACAACACCATCCATCACCACAACCTCATCAATCATCACAACCCCATCCATTATCACAAACCCATCCATCGTCATCAACCCCATACATCATTCGCAAGCCCCATCCATCATCAACAACTCATCAATCATCACGCAACCCCACCACTTACCCAAACCCAAGCTCATCACAACCCAACATCCATCATCAAACCCCATCCATCGTCACAACCCCATCCATCATCGCAGCCCCATCCATCATCACAACCCCATCCATCAATCACAACCCAATCCATCATCACAATCACCATCCATCATCACAACACCATCATCACCACAACACCATCCATCACCACAACCTCATCAATCATCACAACCCCATCCATTATCACAAACCCATCCATCACAACCACATGCATCATCACAACCCCATCCATCGTCACAACCCCATCCATCATCGCAGCCCCATCCATCATCACAACCCATCAATATCACAACCCCATCCATTATCACAACCCCATCCATCACAAACCAACATCCACATCACAACCCCATCCATCGTCACAACCCCATCCATCATCGCACCCCATCCATCATCACAACCCCATCCGATCATCAAATCCCCACCATATCACACCCACCATCCTCTCACAATCCCATCCATCATCAAACCCCATTCATCATCACAACCCCATACCATCATCACAACCCCATCCATCATCACAAACCCCATCCAACTCCATCATCATCACTACCCCATCCTTACACAACCCCATCCATCTCAAACCATCCATCATCACAACCCCACCATCATCACAACCCCATCCATTTCACGCCCCACTCCATCATCACAACCCCATCCATCATCACACCCCTATCCATCATCACAACCTCCCCATCATCAACAACCCTACTCATAATCACAACCCAATCCATTTTCACAACCCCATCCATCATCACATACCCATCCATCACTTACAACCCCACCATCATCAAACCCCATCCATCATCACATCCCCATTCATCATCACATCACCCATCCATCATCACAACCCTACTCATAATCAAACCCCATCCATCATCACAACCCCACCCACATCACAACCCAGTCCATCATACAACCCACCTATAATCAAACCCCACCTTCATCTACAACCCATCCATGATTCACAATACCTACTAATCACAACCCCATCCATCATCACACCCCACACCATCATCACAACCCCATCCATCATCATAACCCCATCCATCATCACAAACTACCATAATCACAACACCATCCGTCATCACAACCCACCCATCATCACAAACACCCACCCATCATCACAACCCCACCCATCATCCAAGCCCATCCGTCATCACAACCCCATCCATCATCACTACCCTACCATAATCACAACACCATCCATCACAAACCCATCCATCATCACAACCCCACCATCATCACAACCCATCCATTATCACAACCCCACCCATCATCACAACCCTATCTATCATCACCCCTATCCATCATCACAACCTCACCATAATCACAACCCTACCCTCATCACAACCCCATCCATCATCACAACCCCATCATCATCACAACCCCATCCATCATCACAACCCATCCATCATCACAACACCCATCATCACAACCCCATCCATCATCACAACCCCATCCATCATCACAACACCATCCATCATCACAACCCATCCCATCATCACAACCCCATCCATCATCACATCCCCATCCATCATCACAACCCCATCCATCATCACAACCCCATCCATCATCACAACCCATCCATCATCACAACACCACCCATCATCACAACCCCACCCATCATCACAACCTACCCATCATCACACCCCATCCATCATCACAACCCCATCCATCATCACAACCCCATCCATCATCACAACCCCACCCATCATCACAACCCATCCATCATCACAACCCCATCCATCATCACAACCCCACCCATCATCACAACCCCATCCATCATCACAACCCCACCCATCATCACAACCCCATCCATCATCACAACCCATCCCATCACAACCCCACTATCATCACAACCCCATCCATCATCACAACCCCACCCATCATCACAACCCCATCCATCATCATAACCCATCCTCATCACAACCACAACCTATCATCACAACCCCACCCATCATCAGAACCCCATCCATCATCACAACCCCACCCATCATCACAACCCCATCCATCATCACAACCCCATCCATCATCACAACCACACCCATCATCACAACCCCATCCATCATCACAACCCCACCCATCATCACAACCCAATCCATCATCATAACCCGTCCCTCATCACAACCACACCTATCATCACAACCCCACCATCATCAGACCCCATCCATCATCACAACCCCACCCATCATCACAATCCCATCCATATCATAACCCCATCCCTCATCACAACCACACCCATCATCACAACCCCATCCATCATCACAACCCCACCCATCATCAGAACCCCATCCATCATCACAACCCCACCCATCATCATAACCCCATCCATTATCATAACCCATCCTCATCACAACCACACCCATCATACAACCCCATCCATCATCGCAACCCCACCATCTTCAGATCCCCATCCATCATCACAACCCACCCATCATCACAACCCCATCCATCATCATAACCCCATCCCATCCATCACAACCACACCTATCATCACAACCCCACCCATCATCAGAACCCCATCCATCATCACAACCCCACCCATCATCACAACCCCATCCATCATCATAACCCATCCCTCATCACAACCCCACCCATCATCACAACCCATCCATCATCATAACCCCATCCTCATCACAACCACACATCATCACAACCCCACCCATCATCACAACCACACCATCATCACAACCCATCCATCATCATAACCCCATCCCTCATCACAAACCCCACCCATCATCACAACCCCATCCATCATCATAACCCCATCCCTCATCACAACCCCACCCATCATCACAACCCATCCATCATCATAACCCCATCCCTCATCACAACCCCACCCATCATCACAACCCATCCGTCATCATAACCCCATCCCTCATCACAACCCCGCCCATCATACAAACCCCATCCATCATCATAACCCATCCTCATCACAACCACACCCATCATCACAACCCCATCCATCATCACAACCCCACCATCATCACAACCCCATCCATTATCACAACCCCCCATCATCACACCCACCATCATCACAACCACACCCATCATCACAACCCCACCATCATCACAACCCCATCCATTATCACAACCCCACCATCATCACAACCCCACATCATCACAACCACACCAATCATCACAACCCCCCATCATCACAACCACACCTATCATCACAACCCCCCATCATACAACCCATCCATTATCACAACCCCACCATCATCACAACCCCACCATCATCACAACCACACCTATCATCACAACCCCACCATCATCACAACCCCATCATCATCACAACCCCATCCATCATCACAACCCCACCATCATCACACCCCACCCATCATCACAACCCCATTCATCATCATAACCCCATCCCTCATCACAACCCCACCCTCATCACAACCCCAATCCATCATCATAACCCCATCCCTCATCACAACCCCACCCATCATCCAACCCCATCCATCATCACAACCCCACCATCATCACAACCCCATCCATTATCACAACCCCTCCATCATCACAACCCCACCATCATCACAACCCCACCATCATCACACAGTATAATACGTGCACTTCAAATAAATTTGCTACAAACGTTTATCTCTTTCACACACATTAAAATTGCCGATATTTTGTTATAATTTTAGAATACATTTTGATATTTTCCAGAAATTAACATTAAAATTGTTAAATACGTTAATCAATACAAAACTTCAAGTAAGCAACAAAACGCAAGCCAAAATATTTACATATTTAAAAGGACAATGGGAATTACAAAATATAATTTTCTCACTTAACATGTATATAAAATGACTTATTTGCAGCCTTTCCCTATCAAACATTATTTTTAACTTCCCTTAATTTTAATATTTACAAACTTTCCAACAATAACAAACTGTCACAAAACATTCCTTGATTTTTCAACAGACCTTCAATCACTAAAACACGTGACCATCCTTATTTATAACTGATACAGAGGCTTATTTACAAAAATAACAACCAAGTTGCCCACCCTTTATTTACATTAGATCATCAGCCCTATTTATTCAATCACATGTAAATATACTTATTTCCTGGTAGTTATAAATTAAGTACAGTCCCCAAAATGTTAATCAGCGTGACATAATCAGGTGACACAAGAATGGAGGAGCACTGTAGTTGACCTACAGACCTTCTTCATGACTACTACAACTAACCCAGCCCTTTGGGTATGACTTATTTCCACTGGGGAATCCCGCCTACCAGTGACTATGCCCTCGTCTGCTACACGTCCCTATCCACTGACGCCTATATAAGCGCCAGTGTCTTTGCCTGTGCTTCAGAATCTCTACGACCACGGTGCTCTCCACACCAACTCCAAGGCTGAGGTACTGATTACCTCATCCTTTGTATATAGTTCTACTATCTTCTAATTATGTCCTAGAATCTCTATTGATAAAGCCACTGGAAGGCGAAACGTCTACAATAAATGTAACCAGATGTTGCACATGTGTCTTAACTTTCATCAGTAGACTTACTGTCCCATATTAGGCTTAAGCTTCTCATATCCGACCTCCCTCACACATTCAACGAATGGTCTCGTCGACTCATTTCCTACAAATGACCTTAACCTGCCGTCCTGTGTCACACCTGACATCTCTCTGCTATATTTTATGATTTTCTAGCTCTATTAAGACTGACGATACGTCTCGTTTAGTAATGGTTTAAATTATGCATGTATCTCATTTTCTGGGGATTTGAATTGTTTCATATAGTAATCACATACATACAAGAGAATAAATCATACAGACTAAAGCTCGACAATGCTTACTCACCGGCATTGTAGAGTAATGTATCATTGTAGTTAGAGCCTATGAAAAAGCCAGTGGCTCCCTCTATCATGTAGCGGAGCCAGGTACTGCCGGAACACGGGGTCGATACCATCAGCACTGACGTCAGCCCCTTCCCGAATCTACACGTTAAGATTCAAGAAACGTCTGGATAACACAATCTGCTAAATCATATGAGGAAAACATAATACATCTTTCATTTATTTTTCAACAAGTCGGTCGTCTCCCACCGAGGCAGGGTGACCCAAAAAGAAAATACTTTCATCATCATTCAACACTTTCACCTCACATACATATTCACTGTTTCTGCAGAGGCGCCCAGATACAACAGTTTAGAAGCATTTATAAAGATATATAACATATCTCTCCAAACTGCCACTATCTCAAACCCCAGAATTATGCTTGAATATATCCTGTATTTAATCCCAGTCCTATTTAAGGTGGCATAATTGTATAGTGATGACAGCTAAAATTCTTTCCAAAAAAAAAAAAACAGGTATGTAGAAAATGGTATTTAATACCGAGAAGATGAAGAGTGAACCGACAAGTTGAAGAGAGAGACACATGCGTAACACTTGGGTGCCTTTACTGTTGACTGAAACGTTTCGCCTACGTAGTCAGAACTCTTTCTTAGTCAAAACGACAATAGTCACGAACGCTTCTGAACACGAACAAATTGGTTCATGACCAAAAATTCCGCTAAATTTTTGCATCTGGTTACAAACACATAATCAGGTGCCGAACAAACACAGCCACTCCAATTTTCGCATGCTGCACCATTTTTTTTCTTTTTTTTTTTTTTGCATGCGCCAATTTTCCCCACTTCGTGTTGTTTGTGTAGACCTAACAAAGACCCTCACCTTGTAGTCAGTCTCGGTTAGACGTGCTTTCATTCACTGTGAACTCCTTGTGTTGTATTTCGTGTGTGTTTGAATTCAGTCACCCATGATCAGTAGCTTTGCCCGCTTGTGTGAGACCTTCTTGCCACTGTGTATCAACCACTGTGTATCAGTGTATGAACCACTGCTCTAGTACTCTCATCATACTCTTGCCTCGGCCTCCTGCCGTTCTGTAGTGGATTATACATCACTGCAGCTACCACCTTGGGACCTCCAGACTGAAGCTTTCCTACTATTTAATCTCTTGCTTCTCCAGTCTCTCATCTCTCCAGCTCATCAAACTCCCATCAGTTTTTGACCAGCATTGCCACTCCTTCATTCCACCTGTTCCCTCTGTCTTTCTTCAGGATCTGATATCCTGTTGGAAAGATGGCATCTGTTATCATACCTGTGAGCTTGGTTTCTGT